ATTATTCATGTTTTTACGGTTTCCCTTAAAGACAATCTTGTATTATATGTACATATTGTATACAATTTGAAAATATAATATATACATAAAAAGAATAAAGTAAATTATCTAAACATTCATTGTGTTATTAATTAAACGCTCAAATGCAATAAAATATAATTAATACAATTGAAATAACTTATATAATTAAAATAATCTTATAATCGTTTTTAGTATCTTTTTGTTTTTTAATTTTTTATTTTCATATTAAAAGAATTACATCAAAAAGAATATAAAATGTATTTATTGAATCAATGAGAATATAAAGTAAGTTTTTCAATTTATATCCAATAACATTAATTAAAATATTTTCAAATACAAACCCATTTTATATAGAAAAGCTACTAATTTCAGGAATTTCAATCATTTATATTTAAAGAGTATAGTTATTATAAATCATTTGCATGTACCGTATTCAAAATAAAAACCTCTATTCTCGTAAATTTTCCTATTTTTACTCTATTTTACATTTCGATGGAATTTAATCAAAATCCAATTGATTTGTAATTAATATATTAAATAATCGCCAAAAGAGTCAAAAAACAAAAACATGTAAAATACTGTAACTTTATATCATATTATGATCTCTAAAAATCAAATCTTAAATATTGAATTGATTTATAATTTATCGTCAAATCGATTGCTTCATAAACTCGAGAATATATTTTGCAATTTTTTCTTAATCTTCTTCTGGTCGTCAAGACTGCATCCGATGACAGTCTTCTGGAACTGTTCGTCGACTGGAAGTGGTTTGAAATGATCTGAAGAACAGGAGCTTAAGTAGGTCTGACACAACTGTTTGGCACAATCCCTATCATTTTTGACACAATCGGACAGTTTATCAATAAATGTGTTCACATTCTCGAGTGCTTTCTCTTGTGTCACAGTTCTGGTAATCTTAAGGTTGATGTCGACGCTATCCAATCTCAACAGTAATCCATGAGATGTTATCTTAATTTCTTCCCTTTCGACTAACGTTTTGTTTTAATTAATAAATTAAACCTTAACTTCTAATGCCTTACAAAATAGACATCAATAATGGATTGAATAGTTCGGCGATACATACCTTCTCCTATAGAATCCAATTGATCGCTCGTAATGATTGAATTGAGGACTCGATATAACTTTCGCTTCTCGTCCTCCAATTCAGACGCCGTTTCCCGAAGAAAAGCCACTCTTTTGTCGATCTGATCCAAAGTGTTGGTTATACTGTCTCTAATCATCTGTGACTTCGTTGGTCTCTCAATCTTCTTAACTGTCGACGACTGTTGCGAACTATTTATGAAGCAATGGACTGAAGGAGTCTTTTGTAAGGAATTGTGTATCGATGAGAAAGAGGCCGCAGATCCATAACCCGAAGAATTATCACTAAACTTGAGCCGAAGTACAGGTTGTGGTGATTCCGAACGGTTCCGCAGTTCCAATATTTTGTGATTCTTATCAAATGAGTCCTTCCGGTGGACCATAAGAGTGGGCACACTATCACTACTTGAACTAAACTCTTTAGACGTTGAGGTCACCTAAAATATATGCAGTATATTGTCTGTCAATTTCACAGTTTCATAGTCTCTTTCTCTCACCCACTCTCACACTTTATTCACACCCACTCTCTCTCTTTGTGGACAAATTTACAAATTATTAAACTCAGTCTACAGTATTGCGTTTAAACAAAACAAACATTATGTCTATTTTTATGTAAAATGTAAAATTTCAAGAATTTTAGGAAGTTTAACAAATATTTTTAACATAACAAAAGGTGCATAACTTAACTAACATATATTGATATTCTTATAATAATTTGTAATTAATATTCTTATATACTGTACAAGATTTAAGAAATATTATGTTTGACAATTATCTAATTACCATATTTACAAATAATTATTTAAGAAAAGTTTAACTTTTAAAATTATTATTATAAAAATCACATTAACAATTAAATAGCTTTAATTTTGTTTCCATTTATATTCAAATTTTATTTGCTATTGAATGCATGAAAAGAATATTTTAAACACATTTACTCTCAATTTAAACATAAGATCACATCTGAGATAAAAATATAAAAACTAATATAAAGTATAAATTTGTCGCTATATTTAAAAGTAAAAAAAGTATGTGAGATATTATTGAGTATTATTTTGTTGCCAATTCCTCCGACGGTTACTATATATCTGTTTTTAGTTTCACTTTTGGTCTCAATTGCCAAATGTCTTACACTATAATAACAGTTATTTTAAATAAAAGTCGGCTTTTTATCGTCAGATTTTTAAACAATAAAAGTAAATGTCATTTATATTTATTAAATAAAATATTTTAGTCTAAATTTTCAAATATATTATAGCATATACTTTTAAACATTTTCAAATATTGTCATAAATGCATACTATAAATTATAAATTTTTATGTTTTAGACTTACAAAATAATTATATAAATACTTGGAAATAAAAACATTTCTTGGAGATTCATAAATAATAGTAATATTTAGGATATCTGATATAAATATTGCTATCATTTGAGAAATAATCTATATTTTCAAAAATAATGTATATTTGCAAATATTATATGTAATATTGATGTTTTGCTATACGTACAACTTGTTCAAATATTAATTAAATGTTAAGATTGACAAAAAACATATTTAATTAGTAAAATATTCTTATTAAATTTACTAATTTATACTGTATATTACAAAAATTAAATCTTTAATTGTAATATGATAACATAAACCTAGAAAATTGTCCAATAAATGTAACAAACCTTTACAAACGAACGTTTTATTGTACAACTGGTGGAAACGGGTGGCAATGATGTGTTTCTATCACCACTTTGTCCATCCATTGTCTGACTTTAGTATTATAGCTGATACTTAATACAATTGTTTTATTTGTCGATTTCAGTGTGAATTCAGTTTTTTGCGGACAGCAACTAAACCCACGACTAAGAGATTAAC